ATGCTTACAAGTGCAATTGACCACACTACTTAATTGCAATGTAAGTAGTAGCAGGAGTCTCGAAAAACTTAATTATCCGCCTTTCGAGTATGCTGTGGTGAATGTAGAACACTCATTTTAACCAGCTCAGGCGGCAGTTTATGGGCGCATGCTCGGACCATTTTCACGAGACCCGAAGTCAGCGTAGATTCGAACAAGTAATGCGCTCTTGTGTGCAATTGCAGATGAAACGATGGCCAACCCAACACTGCCCATGGAGCCTGGAAGGAAAGTGTACGTTCCAGTCTCGACGACATGATGTTGACGAAGGGATCGATTTTTCGCTTCAATCCAAAGGCTTCCAGAAGTTTTCCTTCGCCCAGCGCCAGTCTGAGGCGCAGTGAAGACCGGACCTGTACGTCGGGCCGACAGACTCCTTCTGCGCCATGCAACTGGACACCGCGTCCGTCCGCAACACGACGGCCCTCTTCGTCTTCCTCATGCCGAAGGGCTCGCCGGGACACTCGATCTTTGTAGATCCCGACCTGGTGCACATCAAGCGCCACCTGGAGACCCGATGCGCCTGCCGGATCTCCGCCTACGATGGCGACGGTCTTGAACGGCTCTTGCGCAACGGTTGGTCCGCGGTGGCCAAAGCCGATTTGCTGCAATTCCGTGTCGATCGGTCCACCGGCTCACACAACCCCTTTCTCATGGGCCCCATGTCGCCCGGCAACAGCATCCAACGCGACGTGACAGTACAAGACGGCCTGTTGTACCGAGGCACGTGGCTCATCCACATTGTCTATCACACCCAGCCGAGCCGGCATCATCTCTTCTGGATCCTGGTCAACCGGTTCGCCGGCCAGTTGACCTTTGGCCTGCGCACCGGACCTCGTCTCCGCCGTGACAACGCTGCCGCCGGCCGTGGTCTCGTCTTCACCACGTTGGCCCTGTTGACCGGTCCCGAGGCCAGCCGGATCGGCCGGACTGACCGGGACTCGAGTCGACCTTCACACTTCCACATGCTCGCCGACGACGACGTCGATGCCGAGGTCGACTTCGACGGCGACGTGGGTGCAAAGATGCGCCAGGCCAATCTGGCCTCGGTACCAGAATCGAAGCTGAGGGGCTGCACTCGAATGGAGGGTGATGTCCACAAGGTGGAGGCGGCACAATCACACAATCGCCTCGACAAAGCCGCTGCAACACCCGATGGCTGTGAGTGAGCTCCGGCGAAGACGATCCTCTTCAGTTTGCATCTTCAGCCTCGGAGGCCTAGTGATCACCGCATTCGGTTGAGCTCAATTTTGACGATGTCCTTTTAAAACAAGTTTTAGTTGATCACGCCCAGAGATCATCCGATTCTGCACAAATAATGATTTGTTGTCTGTCCACGGATTTATGGAATTATTTATTTTGCATCAAAAACTCCACTTCTGCCAGTCTGTAGGCAGGCTTAGACAGGACGCTGTTTCCGACGGCCGAAAGAGAAGTTGAGCATTTTTATCGTTGATTGGCCTCTTGTCTTTATAAGGGTTTCGGATCATCGAACTTCAAGGGAAA